ATTAGTGCGACAAAATAACATAAACAAATATGATTAGAATGTTGACGTATTAAAACATCGTGTTTTATACCTTGTACACTAGATACATATCCTAATAAGCTTTAAATATAGTGTTTTGTTCCATACCTAGTTATTTCGCCACTGTCAACGACGAAAGGCAAAAATACAGATTTCTTATCAAGAAGCATTAACATGCGGAGGAGGCTATTGAGTATCCAAGGAGAATCGCCTGCAAACAATGCTGACAAAGAAAAAGGAACGCCTCAAACTATGACGAACGAAATGAAATTAGAGGGAAGTCAATCCTCTGTATCGCCACAACTATTGCAAAATAAGAAAAAGAAAACACCGTCCGTAGAAATCCAAGCAAGTGGTGTCACGGAAACCGCTCCGGTCAGAAGTACTGTCAGGTCGACGAGGAGGACAAATAGACGGTCACGAAAAAAATCGTCTAGGAGGTCATCTAGAAGGCGGAGGAAACATGAAAAAGTATCTACCAGAAATACAACTGAATTGAAGAAAAGTGTGAGAACATCTGATAAGTCAGCGGTAAAAGACGGGTTGACTACACCACCTCGAGCTAATACAAAGGAAGACACAGTAAGTGAAAACAAAAAACTCAAATTTCCAACGGGATCATCTCAGAACTCGACAAAACTATCTACACGTAAAGCAACGAGTTCGTCAACAAGAGGTCACAGAAAAAATACCAAGCAACTACCGCTAAAATCCGAAAGCATTAATCATGTAACTAAAAGCTTTAGTGCTGCTGCAGGGAAAAATGTACAAAAGACGACAGTCCCATCAAAATCGGTAGAAAATGAGACCTCCAAAATCTCCAATAGAAAAACTGTTCAAAAGACATACAGCACGACAATTTTAACGCCAACAACATCAGGGTTATACAAAGATAACTCTATGTCTACCATAAATATCACACCATCGTCACAAGGAATGAGTGAATCAGCTCATACAGGACACCGATTCGACGAACATGGGAGTACGTTGAAGGCGAAATCTTCGAAAGAAATAGGTCGCATATTCACCGAACCATTCAGTAGCACAAGTTATACAACATCAAATCCGGTGGCTTTAGGAATACCTGAAAATATTCAAAGTTCCCAGACTAACAAGGAAATATTGCCTTTATCATCATCGGATCGGACGAAAACGAAGTCAGTGACAAGTGGATTACCGGAAGATCCTCGACAAGATTTAAGAGAATTTGAAATAAAGAAAACTCTCAAAAGTGTTGTGGAATTAGATCAAAATACTGCTGATATGGACAGGCAATCTTTAACTAGATCGAAAGGGTATGAGGTATCCACTATTATCGATGAGAATATTGGCAACGGAATCCAACAACAAGCAACATCCAGCCAATCCGAAAACGTATTTGATAATAGCATAGGTGTATTTGGAAGCAGTACTATGAGAGTTTCTTCCGAAAACACAACACCATCGACGACAAATACACTATCGTTACCGACTTCAAAACCATCGACTCACAAGCAAATAACTGAAACACAGAGACAAAATCCAATGATCGCTTCAATATTGGCTCGGGTACTACCACAAATACTGGGGTCAAGTCATGCCATTGTGCGTCATTTAAGACCACGCGCTATAATAACAAGAAATGACGGATCATTTATTGTTCCTCTGCTGACACCGCGGTTTCTGAATGTCAACAGAAGACGGCTACGTATGTCTTCATTGCAGCCTCAGTATCTAGGTTTCTTCAGGAAACGTGCATTGTGTTTCGAGACACCTAGAAGATTAAGGAAGATGTGTAGGACCGATACGGATTGCCAGCATCAAATGAAATGCTATTCAAGACAATGTTGTGCCACAAGCGACGCCCATGCGGAAATGTTAGGTGAGTATTCTATTGATCCTGAGAAGAAATCCATATCTTTATTTCCTTAAATCATATGGTTTATAATTGGAAAACAGCATTTTTGTTCTCTGTAATGATTGAAATATATTTAAAACGATGTCCAAAGTATAATTGTGCTTTGAATACAAAAATGAAATGTTCACCAATCAATGCTTTTATATTCAACTTTTCTTGTAGTTAAAGTTCCATTTATGAGTTATTGATATAACTTCTTTTTTTAACTTTCTGAATTTCAGCTTTTTACAACTGTTTGACAAATGCAAGTTTTATGATTTTTTGATTGTCAAATGCAATGCAAACATACGAAGATGCGCATGAATATCAATCACATTTATGACATATAGATTAGCTTTTCATTATTTTCATTTATCAAAAACCTGCCAGTAAGGGGATGTTGGGGGAAGATATAACAGAAACTTGATAATATATCATTTCGTTATGGTAAACAACAAATAAGTAAATGCCGAATCACACAATAAGGTGACAACAATCTGTTGATTTGAGAAACACAATATGCAGAACGGTTTGCGTTAACATATGTTTGTGTTTTGTTTTACAGAGAACATGCTTGAAAATATGGATCGACCACGTATTCGAATTTTCCGTTTGAGGCCGACATAATTATCAACGTTTACGTCACCAAAATTCATATTAAATCTCTGTACATTTGACATTTGATGTTTTCGCTTTTTAAAATCAAATAATGAAGTTTTCAGCAAGTTTCATTAGGGAAACCTTGTAAAGAACATGATTTATCAAATAATAATGAATATATGGTTACTGTCAGTAGAAAACGACTCTGCATTTCAGGAGCTCTGGTGCGTGACTACACTCAAGTTGTGTAATTTATCCTTAGTTATTCAGTGATATCTAACATTTCTCAGGGAGATTTCTATGACGACCGTTATGCTTTCTATCAACCTGTGTCTTTTGATACCTCGTGATACGAGTTTGTCCTTCAATTGACAACTTTATGTACGTAATCATCACAATTATCATTCAGATTGGTGGAAAGCTGTCCGTTCTGGTTTAGATGCGGAAAAAATATATATTGTGTCCTTGATTTCCAATTCTGGAAGGTATATACCATGGTCTTTTAATTTCTTGTTACTTAAAGACCAGAGACATTTAACGTCTTTACAAGGTCTTTGTGACTTGTTTTGATACGTTCTTCAATAAATCCAGTCTTGTATGAAACAAAATCAAGTCAGCCTATAGAAGAGTCACATTTCTTTTCCACGGATATAACAATAGTCTGTTGGAAGACATTACTGCAAACTCGACGAAGACGTTGTCAACCATCAACCTGATTATCTCATGATTTCGTCTGCCGTATATTTCTTCTTTGATTTGGACGTTTTTTCACGGGATTTCACTTCAGTGCAGTCTATAACCATATATTTGTACAGCTGTACACTTTCTTGGAAAAGAACTCTCAAACGACACTTTTAGAAGAGAGTGTTGAAGATTGGTCAAAGCCTCTTTTAGATTCAATAAAATATGTTTCCATCAATTTTTATTATTATGTTTGTCACTTAAGTACATGTTTACATTAATAACGTTAAAATACTGCTTCAACATACATCTGTTAGAGCCTCTATTCCTTACCAGTTTTGTTATTTGCGATACCTGAAGTAAAGATCGTATCATTTTTTTTTATTGGAAACAAACACAAATAGTGCTATATTTAAGATGAAAATATCATTATCGCTGGTATTCTCTAAGGAAAAAATAACTTACATCTATCTTATTTGGCTACAAGATGTCTTATTTTCATCCATTTAAACTCTCTTAACTATTGATAAATATTAGTTCGTCTTAATTAGTCTGTTGTCTATATCAATATTTCATAATTCAAATTTTAATGTATTTCGATCGTGTTTAAGTGATTAATTCATAATCTGAATAAACACACGAATCTCCAAAACACATCAGCCTTAAGACGTATTTAATAGCAGATGACAGGCTTACCCGCGGTTTTAGTTCCCTGTAACGTGTGAGCGAAGTAGACAGATATATGGCATACATGTGTTAATATAAGGCACAATGCATTTCTCATGTCTACACTTGTCCAACATATTTCATGCCGACGGCTATTTCACTATGTTAATTAGTATACAATTACATAGATATTAATTTCTTTTTCTGTCACATCAACAGATTCATGTTACAGTTTCATAAAACATCTTTTCTTTTTTATTACTAAAGCAATTATTGTAAAAACAAATTGTCTCATAATTTTACAACATGTCAAGATGACACGTGTATTCCGGAATAGAAAGTACAAAAAGAACCTCCCAGTTAATCATCAACCTTTCTTTTGTTTTACACAAGGAAAAGTAAATCTAAATAATATTAGTCGCAAAATTGCAAATAACGTCAACATTAGTATGATTCGGAACAATATCCCTATCGCAAAATACTGTCCTCGTAATGATCGAAGATGATCGATTATCGATACTGTTATCGGTTTTGTTATAGAAACAGTTCAGGTAAAACAAATAATTCAAATCTATACATGTTGTAACGTATATTTAAACAGTCTGTGATAAGATAACAAATGTCCTGAAACTCCGTTCTCAATTCTCCGAGATGATCAAGTTATAAACACTTATTTAAGATAAACTAGATACTTATTTAAGAAATAAACTGATATATATATATGCAGCTTAGATTAAATATTTCAAATTATCCATATGATATAATCCCGACGTTCTGTCAAGATAGAAATGTACGATCATTCTTTCTGATTCCCATCATGTCTTTTCCAATACATTAAGATACAGAAAAATAATAAACAATACGAAAAACAACAACTCTGGCAACGTAGACGACAACGAAGATGACAACAATTACATAAACGACAATAAAAGCACAAGGTGTTTAAAATTTTGAGATAATATTTCTGTTGTAATAAACTGATTAGATTTAAAATTTAATTATTTTATCAGGATCTGCTAAGGAGAAAATGTCCGTGCTATTTCGTATCATGTTCATGTTCTCTCCTCATATATAACTGCACATTGCACCTTTCCTAGAATTTTCAACAATCCTAAGTTATCTTCAATCGACACCAGGAAAAGAAATCGAAACGCAATGATATGATAGTTTGTTTAATAGTAGTATTAATGATAACATACAAAAGGAGGAGAGCATTCTTTTACAGAAGTATTTTTTCTTTCAAATCAAAATGGATGCATTTGATAGATCAGCATTTTATCATAATCATGACATTTCTAATTCCATACGTTCAATAGTGAATAATCAGTCACTCAAATGGTGCCTATGGTATGATGTTACAATAAGAACAAATTCTGTTTAGTTCAAGATACTTGTACATATTCTGTTCCGCGACACCAAATGCCCTGTACAATTAAAATATCCGTATCCAAAAATATTGTTTGTCCAAATATTCACCAATCTTGGGTCGAACGCATCCGATTCCCCACCACATATTAAAACCATCCACTGATCAAGCGTCTGAAAAAATAGAATATTGTTTTATCAGTAAATAAAGAAATAATCTGATTTATTTCGTTTATTTCATCACATCACACGCATCCATTTGTTTCAACTACACATCTAGGACGTTGAATATTTTATGATAAATGTATTGAGTGAAACAGTCTTAACTGACATATTTACATTTACTCTAATACTATAAAGAGTTAGATATCACCTATCTGACAGGAGTTGTTAATTTGGAGCAAATTATAACTTGTATGACAATTATCAACTTTTGCTTCAAATTATTTATTCCATTATTATAAGAGTCATACGCCTATGCAGCTTACTTACTATATCCTAGCTATGATTATACATCAGATAACCATCCAAGGTAAAACTATCATGCATCAACATTTCAATCATGTGACGAAGTAAATGTTGTTAAAACGGCATTTTAATTTGGAAATAAACAGCGTGAAAAGAAATACCTTTATGCTGGTTATATGGGATGATATATTTGCTATTTCGAGATCAAGGCAATTTGATCTGTGAAATAATGGGCCATGAGTGTATAAATTGTCACTTTTTATCCGAAATTTTGATTCGTTAAAAAGGTGGAAAAGAAAATTACATAACTTATGACTAAGCATAGGAAAAGCAGAATGACATCACTATACAATAGACTATTTAATTCTTACAGTACAGGTGAAAGCGATATCATTAGAGATAGTATCCACTGATACCTCTTACACCAAACAGGTCAGTATATATAAACTTTTCTGGTCAACTAAGGCAACCTTAAAATTACTTCGTTTTCAGGACATATTTATGTACATGAACTGCATTTTAATCACTTTCTTCGAGACTTAACTTAACAGCGACAGCAATCGAACGTTGTGTTTGGTCGAACATTATGGGAGTAGCTGAATGGCTAGTGTAAAATTCACAATATAAGAACAAACAAAACAGAGTTCAATAACTGTAAGTATGAAATAAACAATATAAAAACTCTAAACGGTGAATAGGTATATACTTTATGGATTTAAGATGTTTTCTACGCAATTTCTGCCATTTTGCTGATCTATCTATTTTTAAAGCGAATATGATATAAACATATCCAAAACTTACCGAGCAACATTGTGCATTGAAAGGTTTTACAGCAGCATGAGTGCCCCAAGCAAGCTACGTCATGTCCGGTTGTCATTCGGTTGCATTCGTATGGACTACAACGGCCTCTAGTTTTGTACCTGATCCGAGATGGAGTCTCGCCACAAAGAGTCATTCTGCTCAGAGTGTACATCATGGAATCCATTGAATTTCCACTTTGTCCAGAACCCATACCACCCATTCCAGCACCAGTGCCCCCACCCATACCAAATAAAGCTGAAAACATGTCTCCTCCACCGCCCATCCCCGTCATGCCAGAACCTCCGCTGGATCCAAACAGACTGTTCTGAGTACCTCCGATGAACCCATCTACAAAAGGAGGATTTTGTTAGTATCTCGTTTTCGTTAAAGTCTGCAGTCAGGTTGTAATTGTTTCTAGCAACTAATACGTAATAAATTCATTATTGAAAAATGAATTGTAGAATAAACAATTGACATTTCATAATATTTTTCTAAATGTTCATGTGACTTAAAAATAGTTATTTTAGCTCATTGCAGAATATTTAAATAAAGTAAAGGTTTCTATCTAAAAAGCAATATTCGTAATAAATATAAATCCTCCCTTTAGACGCCATTTCAAAATCACCAAATATTCCACAATCAAAAAATGTTGAAGTGGATGTTATTCTCCAATCACTGTTTAATGCCCCTTTCTATCTATTTCGGTTTCCTTAGTCGACCTAAGTGTTTCAAGAATGTGGTCTTTTTTTCCATCACTGAAGATTTCCTTCGTCGAAACAGCTAAATTATACAAGTCATTCAATCGTAAACGTCGTATAGCGCTTTTATGTCATCGTTTCAATTTACCTTCATAAATTGTACCTAAAAGTTTTTATCAAATGTGTTATTCCCAACAATTTCTTACCAACCATCTTTTCATACAATGTACCACATCAACTGACACCTTTATGCTATCGTTTTAACTTAACTGAAGAAAGAAAAAGAAAATAATTTATTTTTCATTAAAAGTTTTATCCTCAAAACTTTCTTACTTTCCATCTTTCCATACGCTTTACTATATAGACTGACATCGTAATGTCATAGTTTTAACTTTTCTTTTTGAAGTAATAGTTCAGGACATGCTATATATTTACTGACCTAAGCTTCAATTAATGCTTATATCTTGCAATATGATGAATGATACAGCAATGGACGGTTGAACGGAGAATTGCAATACACAGAACGTATGTTCATACTGGGTTACAGACAATCAGTGCTTGGCAGATTTATGAAGGACAAGTGCAACTTCTGTCATAAATCCATCTAATACACATGATTTTGGTAACACACGCCATCATAATGATATATTTATCGTTTGTCTATTTTTGGAGCCTGTCCAAACAAGCAGTTATATTTGTCCTGGTAAATAGGGGATATATATGAATAGTATCACAGATGTGATTTTATGCCATTCTATAATTACGACAATGTCAAGAAACATTTTCTATTTCAAGCATCTCTTACTTATAACCTTGAAATGAAATATTATATCTAACCTTGGAATATATAGCACTTTTTAATATTTTTCTGTGTTAGTTTAATATGTTATGAGTTTAGTTTTGCATCTAGCTTCTGACCTCCTTATTGATGTTTTCATGATGCTAAAACTATCAAAGATATAGGTAGAAATTTGAATACTTTTTGAATGTTTAAACTTTACGCTTAATGTGATCAAGACTGAAAATTCAAATTTGATAATTTGTCTAATTCTTTTTATTCTTTAACATGAATATTTTTTTTTTTTTTTTGAAAATATGTTGTGTGAAAATACTTATAAAAATTGCATGCATTATTTAAAATACCACTAATATTACTTTTACTTCAAATATAACAAAAGAAAGTATGAAGAAAATGCCATATAATTGAAAATTCAGACTTTGATAAGAAAAAAATATATTATTTTCAAGCAATAGACATAATTTGATTTTTATAGATTCGAAAAAAAGCATTTGTTAAATAAACTTACATCCCAGCGCTAGACAGCCAAAAAACACCAGTCCGGAGAAATAGTACATGGCTGTGAGCGAGGGTCAGTGTGTGGACGTAGACGGACAGTCGGAGAGTGAGAAAGTTGTCCTGGACGTAACTTTATAGTATAATACACGTACCGTGAAATATATACGACGGGAAGTAGCATGTCCCTTAGGTCAAGTATGAAGTAATCTAGAATTTATTGTCCTGTAAGTAAGATGTATATTACACATTACTGATGTGCACCTGTGTCAAAAGTGTTAATTAACGATGATATACGTATACAAAAATGTGTGGATGTTTATATTCAAATAAAGTGATTAAGAAATTCTCCCGGAAACTTTTAAAAGTACGTTTTAGGTCAAAGATATTGTTAACGTTACAACGCATGGATAACTTGTGAAAATGACATAATGTAGAGACATATTTAAAAACAATAAAAAAAGATTGAATTCATCCAATGGCTATTTTTGTTCATTTTGCTGAAAAACCTTATCTTTTGTTGAAGAAGTTCGTTAACTTTCAAATTTACTTGCAAATTATGGATGGTGTCTGATTAGATTTTGTTTTATGAAATTATTTCATTACGCATTACTTTAAAGATCTTTTGATGCATGACAATATAAAGGATGTGATATGTTTGCGAATATTACATGGCACAATTAAGTACAGTTTATTTATTTTATTTTGACGTAAACCCACTGGTGTATAAGAGGAAAGCACATTTTTTGCCAGCTGGAAGCGTATCGTGTGGTTATAAAACAAGTTTTTTAAACGATGTTCACCGTTATATGTTTACAAGTCTTGTGATTCATGTGCACCTAAGGATGCATCGTGACAGGAAAAAAATTAAAGTTGTGGTTGTTTTTAGAACTCTTGTTGTTTGTTTATTACGTAGATGTTTCGCATTTCCGTAACAGCTAATGTCAAATGATGCTGGCGTCTAAAGATAAAGTTTTTTCTTTCTTTTTGTTTCCTCACTATAACTTAAAACCAGTACAAGGCAGGTTGTCGATCTCCTTATCAATGTATTATTAATAGATATGTACAACACAAACATAAAGAATTAGTAGGAAATCGGGGAAACACTGTATATTGATGTATAGAAAAGTAGAGATGCATCACTGTTTGAATGGATCGCTTTGGATTCCTGTACAGCCTATTAGACAGAACAAACAATAAATATCACCACTTATTTTCAAGGCAAATCGTTTTGGTCCGTTAGAGTGTTTCGTTGTTTTCCATTTTATTTTTCTTCTGTTTGGTTTTTTTTAATTAGTTGATTAATTACGTGCTGAATAGAATGGAGTATTCTACCAATGTGTAACGAAATTTTAAAAAGCGAATATGATTTAAATGACTACAATACAGATAGTGCTGCTTTACGTTTTAGTTCACATTTATACTTATGAACTATGATAAGAATTTTATACAGCTATTTGCCTTTTTGTATCTTTATGTATCAACGGATTGTATTCATGACAGGTACAATTATATAATACTTGCAGTAGATCCGCATTTATCACATGGTTCATGTTTTTTTTAGTAATTATACCAAGGTTACAGTTTTTGCATATAAACCGTTTTTAATTACCTATTATGTCGCAGGAGATGGTACTGAAATGATGGCACATATTTGCAGATAATAATATGTCGACACAATGGATGCGATATATATCGACTCACGATAATAGGAAATAACGTTATTTTACAGAATTTTCAGCCAAATAACTGTGTGTCACATATTATTACATGGCGATGTAATATGTATTACTTGACCGTTTCGGCTATTAAATGGGTGTCTCTGATAGTACACTGTCCGCTGTAATTGTTTCACTGTCATCGAATAACAAATGATAATTCGTCGCTCAGCGACCTTGCAGTAGTTTACGTGTGATGTGATATCAATCATAACTACACTGTTGAAATATTTAAGACAATGCAGCCTCGATTCCAAAATAACATCACGTAGCTTAGTCATAAATTTCATCATTTCTAGAAAATAAAATTCCTAGTGGTTTCCTTGTTCTTGAAGAATATTCAAGACAACGACACGCACTATAAACTGTAAAAAATGTAAACATGTCTCCATTAAAACATCTTCAGGTAAACTGTTGTAACGATGAGGTTAATACTTATGGTTTCACATCATACTGAATAAACTATATATAGTTATTTTTATGACACTATGTATATAATCATTGTTTTCGTTAGTTATTGGAATTAATGTAAGAAATTCTTATTCATTTTCAATATGTAATTATGAAGGCAGCAGCGGAGCATACAGAACAATGTCGGCGACAGTTATGCAGAGAATCTGGTACTGGTGGCAAAGATGGGACTTAATAACTTTTGGTCGCCAAAATGATCTAATTGAGAAATATTATATTTCATTTTGCGATATGAAGCTGAATGAGTTTGATAAACATTAGTGCTCCTGTGGGCTCCTTTGTTGTACACCTTGTACTCATTTGTGAACGTGACATTGCTTACTTGGATTGCCCAATGTTTACATGGTGGGTGCACATGATGAAGCAAAAGAAGATTACTCTTCTGGAACACCTGGTCTTGTTCACCATTTCACATTTTCAGGATTCCCCGTGTACATTTGTTTTAAATTTCCTTTGGATTATGAATATATTGACACTTTGGTGCTTTCTTTATGTTTTTTTTTTTTTTTTTTTTTGTACAGAGGGAAATGGTGTGAAATGTGTGGCAGCGGTAATGTTTCGGTTGGTTGTGCGAATTGGTGGAAAAGGTACATATTGTGGCAGCAGCAACCGGGCATAGGGTAAAAGGTGGTGATTGCAATAAGACAAATTGTACCACATGTAGTAAGAGAAAACGTCTTTAGTATCTGATAATATACCAAGTGGTGGACGTAAAGTATTTACATCTGGTTTCAGAGGCACTGAGGAGTTAATAGTAAACTATAACATAGAGATGCGAGATGATTGATAGAAACTTGAAAGTACGGCGACGCTTAACAGTGTCCAGTCTATAGGGTTGTGGTCAGTAGCACTTATCCATTAACATAAACACCTTGACCCCTATGTGGTATATCATTGGCATTGTATACTACATTAGATGTTTTATAGGTGCATGACCTGACAATATAACCCGAAAGGCAAGGTGTCAGTGAGGCGTTACCAGCTGATTAATTATTGCAGGAAACTTAATGGCGTTATACGACGATTGTACAAAAACACAAAAGTGAACAGCATAGTTCGAGAGTTTAGAGTTAGAAACATTAGAGTCAAAAAAATAATTAAATTGTATCTTATAGCGGTTTCGTCCTTCTAGGACTAGTCAGTAATGCTGGGGTCCAAACTTTTGAAGCTTTGGAGGCGACTGAGTAAAACCAAAGGTTATCCAAAGAAAAGTTAGGTACATGTGTATATTCTAAACCGTGCCACAATTCGAATGAATTAAAACGTGGCATGCAGGTAACGGCAAACCTCGAGGACTTGAAGTCCACCAGCACTGTCTACCACCTGCTATCGTTAAGAAGTTTATTGGCACTTAGTCTTCCAGTACAAAGTTTTATTGATTTGTTACTTGTAAAGAGCTTACATATTTGAAAAATATGTTAAATGTTAAATATAAAGACGATAAAAAATGACATAAAGTTTTGTTTGGTATGAGATACATATTTTCAAACAATCTTACAATTAGTGAATGCTTTCTTCATTCTGCATAAATATTTTTTTTTATTGTTTCTTTTTATGTGAGAATTTTTAATTTTTGAAGATTCCTTTTGAAAACCATATAACTAATTAGTGATAAAGTTTAAAGTTATTGACCATTACCATTATTTTGTTACTGCTACGTCATGGCATCGCAACAACTATTATACCTCATAGTATATTTAAATGTTTCTTATTCATCTGACACGGATTCCCTTGTCCGACAGGCCAAAACTGTGATTTCGGGTGGTTGATACATTAAACAGTAGCGAAAGCAATGTAATGGCGGTGACTTTTTAAATGTTTCAGCAGATTTGCTTCTTTGGATATAGGACAAGTCGTGTGTAATATTTCAACCGGATACATCTGATTGTGTCAAAACTGAGGTCATTATAAGGATTGACAATATAATCTTAAACACTTATATCAATTACTTGTGGTGAAATCTGAATAATATCAAATTACCAAAATGAGTACCAGCGTAGATATAATGTTTTCGCTGGGTATGTCAACGTGCATAAAAAGCATCGCGGACATTTTCTTATACAGAAATATGTTCTTCTCGTCAGGTCATTTATACGAACATCATGAACACATCCTTATTTTCCCATATAATGTTTGAATTGTTAAGCAAAAAGAAGTATTGAGTCAATCGATCATTGATTAATCTTTGCTTCTGTCAAAATTCTCTTTTTCTGAGTATTTTTCTGTTTTACCTGGGATGTTTTATTCCCCGTTTTAATCAAATAAGGCCTGTTCATTGGATGTATGCAATTGATAATTTAGTTTACGTTTTATTGATTGATACACAAGTTTAGCAAAATAGCAAGATATCTAAGATTTATAAGTGTTATTTACTGCATACACACAGATTGTGTTATCATTCTTATTTTACTATATACGTACATGGGGTATTGTTTTGTATAGCATAGTTATCTTTAGACTGATAATATCAAGTTTATTGTATAAATACATTAATCATTCGATTCCCAATTTTTATTAAGTCCAGTGTGTGTTATTTCTAATACTATTTATTTGTATTTTTATCTTGTAATATCTATTTTACTCCACCCATTCAGAAAGTATTGCTCTGTATATCATTAATACATTTTAACTGGATATATCATTTCATTGAAGGATGTATCACCGTCATATGATTAATTTTCTGTTTGTCATACATCACTGATGGGAATATTTCTTCAAATTTTAATTATCTGGTGATTATACATTGATAAATGACGTCAATGCTCCTAAACAAAAGGAAGTATTTACAAATCAGGACAATCTATGTCATACGGTTGTTATAAACATATCAGGCCTGTCACCATGCTGTCACACTTGATCCTACCAGCTGATATATGTAATATAAACGTGTTTGTAATATATTGTGACTTACTGATCAGATGAACATGTACCTACAGTGATATTAATCATCACTTTATTATTGTTTATATATCAAATATTGTACAAAAGACACACAAGTAAATAGCACCTTTTCATAATTTAGAGTAAGACACAAAAGAGTCAGACAACGAAATCAAATATATATTATGCCTTATTGACAAACTAATTAGAATAAATTATGGTATTAAAATATGTTGTGCTAATAATTTATCAGTGATTTTTATTATTAATTACACGTGTTGCTATTTCATTTGTATTTGCGTTTTGAGTTTGATTCTTATTACAGAATAATAACTGCAAACAAAATATCCCTTTACGAAACCCCTGAGGCGTTGAAATTGATCGTTTTCAAAAAGTTATCGCAGAGGCTATTTCTACGAACCAATTCAAAAATGAATTTGTAACAACCAAAAATACGGATATGATTGCACGTGTTTGATTATTGAAAGTTTAAAGAAAGCTTATAAACAAAACATTGTACTGTCCGTGCCATCATATATGAGATAAATGATATGTTTTACAAGGACGATTGAATTATTTATGAAGGTGAGTGACTAGCCAGTTCAGTGTTTGGTTTCTTAATCGGACGTACAAAGACGGAATTTGGTTATCCGAATTTAATCCGAGTAATGCAAATTTACCTACATATTTTAGAGGTAAATTTATTTTGCGATTTTCTCGCTGAAAGTATTGCGTTAAAATATGACTATCAAGAATTTTAAGTATAAAAATACTCTTTTGTTTTCTGTTGCTTTCGTATTTCTTCTGATCGGTGATAAGACAGTGATACTAAAACCAATTTATTTCGAAAATCTGTTTCACTTTTTACACCCATATCGCAAGTATAAAAATGGGACGACAGAAATATTCACAGTACGCGTAATATCTTCAACGTTGATATTTAAGACAATAATTTGTCACCATCATATCACGTAACAATACCACAGTGGTAAAGGTATATGTGTCACTGGTACTACCAGCGGTTCCCTGGCACGGGTCACTATTTATAGATCTACTACTCATTCATTTTCAGAAAAAAAGCCTTGTACGTGCTTGCCCCATGTCTATTTCTTTTTAATCATTATCAATTAAATCTAGATTTTTTTAATTGCGTACACGTAAGTGAGGCATTTGTCATAAATTATGTCAGTTGGGTCAAATTCGTGTCATATTTATTTCGTCAAGCTAAAATGAAATCAACTGACAAAATTACACATCACAGTCTATCTAAAGCTGATAAAAAATAATCCTATGAAGCGTTCATTCTAAAATCTATTTTGGCATTGAATTTTATTGTTTCAACTATATTTTTACATCATGTCTGTTGCAAAGTAATCAAGGTCTAAACTGCAGCAAATTGAAATTGATTAGCCCTTCTTGCTAAAGACTACTGATAAATATGGTATCTCATGCGGCATACACATTGTGAAAGCATAGCCTGATATTTACATTACCAATTAGCGAAAGGTCCATGTAGTTTAATTTTTAGACTTGTAAGAAAGAAAGAAATTGGTAATAATTAGGTCACGTTTATTTAACCAAATCGATTCGTTTTATTTAATTTTGAAATTAAGTGCATATAAAGACGTATTATTTCGATTATTTGAGTTATTCGGTGTGTATTTCATAACCATGTCAATGAAATTTTAGAGTATGGCTGTATATTTAAAGTCGTACAGTTATTGTCAGTACAGTTAATTAATAAGGTCATACCAGCAATATACTTAACTCATATAATATTTGCTTTTCTTCGCCGTCGTTACATTACAATAGTACTAGACGAACACTGCAATTATAAGACTATAATTACTATAACAGGTTACATAACAGTGATATTGCTGGCAATTCCATACTTTGACTGTTTCCATAACTGTATTCACTCTGTTTAATAAGACAATGATTTTTGCTCAGTATCACCAGATAAGTGATTGATATCAACGCTGCAATGTTTATGTTAATAGATTATCATTTATCTTTGGAATATAGTTATCATCGATATATTTTGTAAGATGTCTTTCTGGTCAATCTCAAATTCCTCATTTTCGACTATGTCATGTTATCACCTACAATTATAATAAGGAAATCCAATGTTGCTTTAATGACTCCTAGCCTGTTTTAATTTCGCAAAAATCATGAAAACTATAGTATATATGTGTTGTAGTTTCTGTTTTTCACAACGCCAATTAACGTGACTTTTTTTTACTTTTTACCAAACTCTACTTGTCAACCAACGAGTCTCTCGATTGTACACCCTTACATTTTGGAGAACATTTCATTTCCCCAGATTGTCTCTGTATGAATGTTTGACATATATGTATGCACAATGGTTTTCGTGCCCTGTATGAAGCAAAGACTGCAAAGGAAACTTTCAAATTTAACATTATTAACGTGTATATGTGCAAAATCTTACACAAAAATAAAACATGTTTTCTTGAGGAATAGCTACTCACAAATATACATAATCAATTAGCATTACGAAATATATAGTTGTACATATTCATATCTTGCATAATATCTATATGTATCTTTGTTATAACCACGTTGGCATTTGGTACTTTTGTGTCATTGGTAAAAATATATGCAATACCATTAAGATTGATGCAAAAAGTCGTTTGTCATCTACCGGAACGTGTGATATTGAAGATCTATGTCAAGTATGTGAAAGTAATGGCATTCTTATGTTTACGTTAATGCAGAAGTGTAACTGTTGTACGGAAATAATAGTTCATCTGTTTACAGTGGCAAAACATAAGACAGAGACATTAATTTATTTTGTTTACACCTGGAAATCTAACATACATTCATCGAATCTTGAACCTGTCAAAATAGTGTGGACATTTGCTATTTAATAAGTGAATTTCTTAATTGTACAATAATAATCTATGATATATAAAATATAAACTTTATATTAAGTGCAGTTTGTGAGCTAAGTAACACAAAGATATATTAATAATTCTTGTTGGCCTGGATGGAGCACGCGAAGGATATCACTGGTAGAGGTTACTTGATAATCAAGGGAAAACCCAATATTACCATTGTCCTACTATCAACATATGGTTTTGAAATCAGCAAAAAAGGCTACTTAATCTCTTAAAATGAGGACTTGCAAGTGCTTGGCCCTGTGCATTCATGACCTATGTACAATAGATAGTCAAATCATTCAAGGATATGCAGCCTCATATCCTCAAACAATACATGGCTGGGAATGTGTACATACATCGTATGTCGGCATGTTGAAGTGGAGGTCTTAGTTGATAGAAATATTTACAAACATCATAAGTCTGAATATTTCAAATCCTACTAAAGATCGTCTCAATGAAACTGCCAAATTTAGTCTGTTTCATTTCCAATGAATTCGACAAGATTAACATTGATCTGGACGTATGACTACATCCTTTACAGATTCTGTAAGGAGGAGAGACCTTACACATGCTTGATGCTAATCTTGAAATAAAAGTAATAGCATTTGTAGAATGGAAATCGATAAAGATATATATATATATATAGTAATTATTAAAGAAATCAAAATATGACATTACTGTGACTTTTAGCAGAATATATTGGTTTTCCGTGTTTTGCTATCTGATTGAGTCCTTGCAAATTTCATCAGCTACAACATTTTTTAACATTCCACTGCAAGAAAATAAAAAGCTCCAAAAAATGCCCCGATCGTCCACTGATTGATACAGAATTACTTTTTTACTAATTTCCAAATGTTATCGATACATAAGCAACTGGTAAATGTCAAAAACAGGCTGCATGACAATGAAAAAATGGCTGCCACCCAAGTCGAATCGAAGCCGGAGAAGAGTGATGAATCCTGTTTAGTCGCTAATCTCTCACGTAGCTGTCAGTGAATTTTCATAATTTCTACAATATTTTGACAAAATCCGTTATTATGATTTTAATATCGTATTTTGTCTGAGTAATACTATTTGACCATTCTCTAATTTTAAATGTCGGACTACATTTTTTAGCGCAATCCATTCGACTTTCACACGTTTTCGTAACTGAAGACTTGGATCTGTTCAAAATATTGAAAACAAACCGTCAGAAAATAAGCATTGGATTTTGGTTTTGTTGATTCGGGGTGAAGAATCGAGTTACTCTTTAAACATATTAGCTGCTTATTGTAGAAACATGATATCATTAACTCGTTAGTAAAATAATGTTTAGCAAACACAATTGCAATCCTTAGCTGAATTGTATCGTATATGATACAAATGATAACTGGAACCAACATCAAAAATGAACTTCTAATTATAGCAAGTGAAATCCGGCGATCAACGCGAATGCATTCTCTGTGACCGCTGTGTCCCTAGTCTCCTGGCTAGCTGATATAAAAGTTGTCTATGTTATTGAAATTAGCGCAACATCGTTGATATAAGAACACCCTCAATAATACGTGTTTGAAATTAATCGCATTTTCTTTGAAAATAGGAATAAATCATATGACTTATAAGAGTTTCATTTATTTCTAAATAATGTACAAAGAAAAGTAAATGTTCAGTAGAAATTACTCCTTTTGAATGTTGAGGAAGCCAACTATTATTAAGAATATGCACAGAACTCTAGAACCTTTGGGTACCTCTGCGACATTGATTTCTGTAGAAGAAAAAGAATATGGCACAACATGTATAAGCAAGTTCATCAAGATAACAAATATTTTACATATAACATCGGCGATTTTATACCAAGTTAGAGAGCCAGTATTATGTCTCAGAATCATCGTACATTTTGTATTTTCTTTATATTTGACACTTTAATATGGACAGTTATTTCACGTAATCAGAGGGTTTTTTTCAGTTTATGTGGAAAGGAAATCAAGAAAATATCAACATGTCAACACAATCACCATCCAAACTCAAATTCCATAAAACCACGGCAAAATTTGAACAAAACAAAGATTTACACAGAGTCTCCTGAAAAAGTACAAGGAGAATAGGTGTTCGGAAAGGTAAGCGTTTTCTGTTTCATCAACGGCACCCATGTAAACCTTGGTCAAGTAAGAAATGTCACGTTTTCAAATAAAGATAAGTGAGAAAGTGCCAGCTGCATTACATAGTGACCTTGATCTGGCTATTCCAAGTGATTTCTTGAACTTTATATTGCATTTGATTTAAAACTTCCATTACTTCCGTGATCTCTTTAAATATACATATAAATAGACTTACCTTCTTTCATTTGTTTTTTCTGATGATCTCTCATCAGTGATATATCTGAATTTAGTCAGAAAATACAAATTATGAATGAGATATGGTTTGTGTAAAAGCATCACAATAATCATAGTGAAACGAAAACCAAAAGTGGATTACAATGTAATGGCCAGATTTGATAGTATTCGTTGTGTATGTTTGATTCTACTTTTTAAAATTACAATGATATTTATCTTTATCCGTTTCGGCACCTGATGATCAATAATCTGTTTGTCATTTCAGCATCAATTGTTTGTACGACAGTGGTTACTTAATTAAAACAAATCTACAAACAAGATGTATTATTATTTCAAGAAACAATCATCTGCACCTCGGGGATTCCTACTGATAACTATAATGACTTAAAACCTACAGCTAAGGGGAAACAACTCACAGAATATGATGGAAACAAATATGCATGCATTAAGAAAATATATTCTGTGTTGTTTTGTCTGTTTGTTTCTTGTTTTATTTTCATTTTTATCATTTTTCTGTCATTTTTATGCAACAAGTTATCAGTTTGCATATAAACTGATATTTTTGCCAACACATGAAAATGTTCATATACATATTTCTCAAAATACGATTTAAATATTTACATTTTGTGATCTTGGGTCCGAAATTTCCTATTCAGTCGTTGCAAAACTTTGCAAATCGGCTTATGATGAATGCACATTCAAATACTGTACTGCTCATACACTAAACTCCAAACTATATCTAGATTGCAGAAAATTGTTTCTGGATAAAGAGAGTGCCTCGTTTAACCTATTAGATATTGCTTATATTCTTTTTGTACTTACCGTTTGGTCCTCCATCCATGACAACGGTAATAGTGTCCGCAAAAGCCCCTATCTTACATTCGTAAGTCACATCATGCTCAAGAGTCGTCGTGAAAAATGTTATCTTGGATGTCCCCGTATATCGGCAAAGATGGTCCATGGGTAAGTCAAGTGATTCTTTTTTTTAAATGTATACTTAAATTAGCACTCTAATATTTCATTTTTTGTTTTTTTGTTTTTTTACTTAGAGAAACTGGAAGTGCAACGACCTGCTTTTTTACACTGTATGAAAGTCAGGCTTGATTAAAGACTTATATTACTACTTTACGTCTCGTTGTGATTTGAATGACATTTTCTTATTGCAAAGATTGTTTAGCAATATTGAAGCAGATTTGCCTTGTGCAATTGTCCCCCAAAATAAGATTATATTTTGTTTTTCGTTCATTTAGACACATTAACCAATAAGAAAGCATTATTTTTATCTAGCGAATAGTAAAGTGTATTTCAGTTAATAATTGTGCCAATGTTGAATGATTCGAAGAAATATTAAACCCAGTACATCGGAAAGAAGCCTTACCAGTTTGTAGCTATCAAATAAATTAGATAATTTTCTTCATATTTAATCTTTCGCAGTTTCATTGTATCAACAAACAACCGGATGAAAACCTCTTTAAAGTAACAAAATGACAATATTCATTTGATGACACAATATTTGTACCTGTAGCGACTCCTTCCGTAGTGTAGATGTACGTTCCAGCCATCATATCGTATTTGTACCACTGTACAGGTACATGTGGTTTCCCTACTGGCCCAGCACACGTCAAAGTCAGATTGATGCCTGGGGAAACATGAACTTCCTTTGTTGGAAACGTCTGGCCATTTATAGAAATCCACGGTTCACCAGCATACGCTGTAACAAAGAATAAAATTATATACAGTCATAAAGAATATTAAGATTATTCGAACCTCAAGTAATCTGAAGACTGTAGTTTTATTATGCCATGACCATTATAAACTTCCCAATCGTCCTCTTGGGCTAGAAAAAATGTGACAGCACGCTTTCCTTTAAGTACTCTCTTTCATTTGAAACCCGTAACCATTATGTGATTATCGGGAATAAGCCAGCTGAATATGGTATGTATACAACAGACAATCTGCAAGTTTTAGAATGTTTAAACCTCGATTATTGCATTTTTTTTTAACGTGAAGATATTGAGTTAATTTGATGACGTCACTACGTTGTTGTGATGTCATATCATTGTCCTGACAGTAGGATCCGCACGTCTAGACTCACAGACCGATGTACATGACGACAGGATGTGCCATTTTTCCTTGTCAATCTTATGCGTTGTTTACTGTGTTACTAATGTAGGTTAATCTGTCATTCACTTACTATAGATTGATAGTTCTTCTCTGACAGTTTTCTGCATTATGTTATTGTCATCGTCAATTCCAAAAAGAACACAGGTATAGATTCCTTCATCGTCACATTCCATCCGGTGTAGAGTCACCTGAAGGAAAGCCTCTTCTGGAGGATATTGTCTATAAGTAATCGTACTTTTCATATCTAGTTTCTGGCTATCTATTCCGGTTCCCCACTCTGGTTCTGTTCCATTCATAGCTGTTAGCGTTAGGTATGGACGTTTCAAAGAAACTGGACCTTCTTTTAGAAGTTGAAGATATCCAAGTCGTGTCAGGTTTTCGGCCAAATCTCCAACGGAACATTTTATTGTGACGTCGAAATCACCCTGGTATTGCACCTTTGATGGATTGATGTTGAGCAATAGACCTTGAAAGAAATAAGTAGGTCGTAATTAAGCAATGTGGCCATTTTAGGTCCTCATAGTGATCTTACTGAGAAATATTCTATTTCTTTGTATGATATTAACCTGAACGTGTTTGATGTTGTTAAACAATAAGATTATTGTTCTACATTGTTGTCTGAGGTTAATAAAGAAAGTTAACAAACCTTTTGCCTTTCCACTGCCCATAACCGTTTGAAGATTAGGTAGGTCTCTATTGAACATGCTATAAACTTTGAGAAAAAACAAAAATTGATAAATCTATAACAAAACATGTGTTTTATCTCTTTGATAAAGTTCAATTATTTCTTCTAGACTGCATAATATCTAAGAACTGATTCAAGTCAATATCAGTTACTTTAGTTTGTAAGTAACTTCTGTTCTTACAGTACTCTTTACCCATTTCTGGGTTTATGTAATGATAAAATCAATTAAATGATATATGATTAATAAAATTAATCAGCAAAAAGGAATCAAATAATAATAAAATGTTGTTTTCCTTTCCCGTTATGAAACGTGACACACATTTTATTATAAAAGTCAGCTGTTTTATAAACGTGTATGTATCGCTGTATAGGATAATGGTTTTGTTGTAACTTACATTATAGTATACTTACAGCTTTTACTATCTGATTCCGTTGTCATAACGGTGATGATGTCAAAAAACGGTCCGATTTGACATCGAAAAGTAGTCTCTCCTTCTTCGTAATCCGCGGTATAAGTTAAGTATCTGCTCCCGTTGTAAGAACACATATTGTCTTTGTCAACCATCAAAGTTTCTATAAACAAATATTATCATCAATTAATTCCATGTCTTGATCAAATTCAATATCAATTTAATTAAGAAAAAAATTTAAATATTGAGAACAAAATATATTCTGGTACAATTAAGTAAAACCATTATCATCATATACATATGTTGTATTTTTGTGTTTCAGTTTTAAGGACTTTTCATTCTTTTCATTGAATAACAATTTTACTATTTTCAATTTCTACTTCATCAACATCAGAGTCTTAATGGCTGAATCGACGTAACTCTATAATGAACGTCGCCGGTCAGAGCCGTTTGAAAATCCGTTTTCGTTTCCTTTCCTTTCTTTATGATAAATACCAATTACCATTAATGAGTTTTTGTATAAGCTACTAACCTTCACTTACACCGCTATTCAATTCTAAGAACACTCCCGCTTTTTCGTTAAACCGGTACCATTTGAGCGGCATATGTGGTTTGCCTACAAGACCGCTACACAATAGAGTGACGTCACTTCCGGGACTTACAACTAAGTTGTGATCAGGAACCTCTGTGGAGAAGTACGTTATGGTTGGCTGACGTCCAAAAGCTTCCATGAAAAAAAGATAGAAATGTCTGATGAAACAATGTTCAACATTACAAATGTTCAATACTCGTTAGTTTGCCAAGGTGTCTGGTTGATGTTGACATTCGTCTTATTTGAAAACTTCTTTACTTTGATTGACCAGATTTACATGCCGAGTTGAAGATGCATACCCTTACGGAACACAAGGTCTGATTCTCAATGCATTTTCCAAGGGTATCCGTGTAGAACTATTTTTTGTACATATCATCTTATATTTACTTGTTCACCTACAAGTAATTGAATTCTTGATTATATCCCTATTTCGGTGCTACCAGGATAAATGCAGGTAATACCAGCTTGCTCGTTTGGGTTTTCTTGAAAATATAAATGTTCTTAATCTGCGTCAAATAAAGAAAATAAGGTAATACTATAAGAATTGAAATCATACTTTTGACAAAGACAATGAATGTTAACAAATACATTATTTGAAATATATATATATTTGAAGAATTGTACATTTAATTTGTCACCCTTTTCTTTGGTATCACGTCAACAACAGAAACACCCTTCATTGTGGTGTTAATATAGCGATCCCATAATAAAATGTGTGCAGATGGAATGGCTGTGGAGATATAGAATGAGTCAAATCTACAAGTGGATGCCTTAGTTTTAAGTCTGTTGACCTCACGAACCTCAAACACTTATAACAAAAGTACGTGTTGGTCAAATAAATCAGAAATCATTCATAATATGATATTATTTCATCCTCGTCAAAGCTGTCTAGAAAAGCTTATACCTCAAACCCTTCACTTATTTCCGGAATTTTGAACACATAAGTTAACCTGCGTCCTAAGGAAAGTAACATAAAGATAATGGAAAAAATAATCAAGGAAAATGAGCTAAGACGAAGTAAAGGATTGACTTACAATTAACAATCAATTCCTCTCGGATAGATTCCTTTACCAAACTTTCGTTCAGATTCATTCCGAAAACTTCGCATGAATATACACCTTCATCCTCACATTCAATCTGATGTAGTGTAACTTCTAAATATGTCTCCTCCATCGGTTTGGTTGAAAACCTTACCGAAGTCTTCTCGTCCAGTTTTTCAACATCTATTCCGGAACCCCATTCCGGTCCCACACCGTCAATTACTCTCAGTGATAGAAATGGCCTCTTCTCCATTAATAGGTTCTGTTTCAATATTTGCATCCATCCTAGGTTTGCTATTTCAGTCTCACCAAGTTCACAGCGGATGGTGACGTCATTCCTGCCAATGTATTGTATTTTGCTTGGTGCGATGGTTAGGAAAAGTCCTTAAATATTCAAATTAAGAAAGGATGTAAACAAACCCGTACATGAATCTTAAAACGAAATGTTAGATATAGCAATATTTCAAAATATCGGTTTTTGCGTGAAACACTTATATGTAATTCCAAGTTGTAGAATGTCGTCTGCTGTAAAAACAATTTATATCATATAATTCTTTTCTCGAATGTCCGAACGCTGTGTTTATGCTTATTGCTATTAACGAATAGAACTAAATATGAAATCAATAAAATATATTAATGAGATGAAAGTGTTGACCATTTTCTCTCTTTTCACATTATTTTATAGACTTTATCAATAAATTTATTGATTTATTGATGAGATGAAGTAGAAGACGCTTTCTCTTCCAGAACACATGGTCTTATTCCCCTTGTACTTTTGCGGTAGTCTCCGACTAGAAACATTCTTTTGTTCACAGTTAGGTCTAGTTTTAAGGAGTTTGAGTTTGGATTATGATTATGTTGCCATGTTGGTATTTTCTAAATGTTTTTGTCTATTTATTTGAAGTTTTAGTGTCGTATGAAAGGCAACCGAGACATAATAATTGCACTATTTGACTACCAACAGACATTCATTTGAGCAAAATGATTTTGAATAAAACTGTACATGAAATAATCATCCAGAGGATTAAAATCTTATTCAGAAATGTACCAATATTGTGTCTACCGCTTAATTCTTCAGTTATCCAATTAAAGACATTCTGCAAATAGGACTTAAGATATAATACAGGTTCTGAGCAGTAGGCAATGTTAAATATTTACCCGGATCAAAAACTATTCATAGCAATTAAAGTTATTTCAAAAGCTGATAAATTACATAATGTGTTACTTTCCTTAATTACGTTAATACATGTATTTATTAGCTATGGATTCACGTGTCCATGATCTGTTAATATAATAAAATACACGCTCGGTGTTAGAAGACTTCAAATTGCTTACGAAATGACTATTTGGAAAAATCGTGAAATGTGATTCTCAGATTATGGGTACAAAAAAAATCAATATTTGTACCTTAAGCATGTAAGCTTTCAGTGATTGGTAGAATTTTTTTTTCTTGTCAGGTATTTAGATTTAAATAAAACTGAATCTAAAAGAAATTTGAAAATAAATCGACCAGTTAGTCAAACACATTAAAGTTGTAAATTGTCATTCATCAAGAAACGTCTTTAATATTTCCATTTTTCTTTCTCTCAGCTGTCCCCAATACTTGCTGAGATAAATCATCGTAAAAATGTAATATGTAAATAAAACTGGAACACGAAATACTTAAAACTGAATATCAACTACAAGCAATGAATTGAGCCCTCTGTGTACATACTGATACCCTATCGTGATACTGAACGAGACCATACACTAGTGAGTCATTACTAAACACTATTTCGTTAAGCAAATATACAGTAAATATTTAGAAACAATTATAGGTATATTATACCTGCAGAATGTGAGAAGAGTACCGCGATAAACATGTATCCCGTCAGCCATCCCATTGTGAAATGCATTTCACTCTGTTGTATTTCGTTTCAACGAGATACATACGTGCGTTTGTGACTGTGATGTAAGTTTTATAAATATGCCAGGGTAGAAATGTTAACCTTGAGTATGTAGGGGTTCATGGCAGGGGAATTCCTTGTCGTTTACAGCGTCACTAAACTCCTTGATATTGCAAGCATTTTATATTAGAATGTATGGTGATATACACCTGATTGTTTACTCAGTACAGATTTAGTCATTATTTCGTGTTCAATTTCATTGATTTTATATATATTATTGATTATTTTCTATACACGATTGCCTCCACTGTATATACATGGCAATGATACTTTAACTTGATATGATATCGGTATATATTATAGTATAAGTTATGGAATACAGAATGCATCTTGAGATTAAACTAGGACATGTGCTTTATAATCATTTAAGTAATTCCAATTTCAAGTAAACACGGTGTTGATAAATTCTGAACATATCTCAGCGCAATTATATTTTATGGTTCAAGAACATCTGTTTATTAAGATATAATATCATCCCCGCAAAAAAATATGAATTAAAGGTGTCAAAATATTCCTTATTGTTTTCAATATTTGAAAGTGAAACAATACAAAAAAGAATACTTCTTGTGGTAATTGTAGCGTAGATTGTAGAACCGTTATGATATGTAAGGTATTTGGGATTGTCACCCTACATCGAGATAATAATTCTCTTTATACAGTCATACCTGTTCTCCACGCATTTAAAGATTTTTTACCTCTGATATGAGAGGGGGGGTATGATAAGGAAACTTACTAAAATGTAAATCAAGAAATCATCGAGTGGCATGCACCCAAATACACCTTGTCTATGTATAGCAGCGTTCGGCCATTCCTCCATTGCTATGATGTGTAATTTGATCGACACCAGATCTAGCGTTGATGTGGGACAGTACAGGAATTTCGTGTTTGCTAAACACTTTATTAAGGGTTTATAAGTGAGTTTGATAGTGCTTTACATTATACGTGGTCAACTCTTATTATGAAATGCCATTGAAGTTTCGTTCATGACATCAATAACAATAACATCATTATGATAAATCTTAAAAATTATTCGGTACCAACAAATGAATAACAAATAAGCATGTTTAAATTATATGGTATGATATTCAATTAGCTGTGAAATATTTCAAATTTCAAATTTAAGCACTGAATTTCAATGTGTATCCAATCATTATGATATGAATATGCTGTATGATAAAACAACAAGAGAAATGAGAATACCAGGTTATCGATAGAACCACGCTTCAAACTAATTCAATAAAGATTATACAAAGACACACAAGTGAAAAGCACCTTTTCATAGTTTAAAGTGAGATACAGTAGAGCCAAACAATGAATTAAACTGCATCATACAGCGGTTTCGTCCTTGTAGGACTCGTCAGTGATGCTACAAGCCTAAAATTTGAAGCCTAGGAGGCGACAAAGAAAATCCAAAATGGTCAGAAGAAAAGTCAAAATGTAGACGGGGAGGTGCAACAGTCCCATAATTAGATAAATTTCGTAATTGTCATACATCACATAATTTTAGAATATCGTCGATTACATGTGTATTTTCTTAACCGTGTCACTATTCGAGTGAATGTAAACGTGTCATACAACTAACGGCAAAATAAAAATATTCCTGACAAAGCACAGGGAATAAGACCAGGCCCCACTTGTATAAAACATCTCAACTTGAAACTTCCTTAAGTCGAGATTTTCCTCAGCTGATGTCTCCTTAAAAACGGCTTGTATAAAAAATTTTCAAGGAACAGGAGGAAGTCATCGGCTAGGATGTCCTGAAATTCCTTGAGGAATTTTCATACAAGATATTTTCAAGGAGATATTAGCTGAGGAAAATCTCGACTTAAGGAAATCTCAAGTTGAGATGTCTTATACAAGTGGGACCAGGTGTGTCCGAGGAGTAAGCGTCTGCTGCGGCATCGAACAAACTAATCATGTAAATCTTGCAAAATAAAGCAAATAGTGTTTCATTGCTAAATGATAAAACGGTAAACAATAATGAAACCTACCGGTATACTTATGTAAAATAATTTGTAATCACCGTAACGTGTATAAACATGTATCGTTAATGTGACGATATTTGAGGTTTTTGAAATCGAAATAATCACATTGTAATTCTGTCTTCATTTTTATTACTAGACATATGGAAAAGTTTAGTGTTTTTAGTTTGTATATTTCCTGTGTGTAAGATGTTTTTTTATGATTTGTTGATTTTTTTTATTCCAAAATTTTCATGTTCGATAAGTAAACGACAAAAGTGTTCATGTTTAAATATCACCCAATACAATACTGTAAAGATTTAATCCAATCCTGTCAGCTGATTTTGAATGCCTACTTTTGATTTACTCATATCTTTTTTCAAGCAACCTATTGCCATACCATTCTTCTCTGTCTCTACACACTGTCTACTGTACCTAGGCAACCCAGACAGGTATACATATTTATTCTTGATGCCCAGGTGTTACTTCCCACCTCACCTACATATATATCACAACAATCTAGTATCGTCCAGTATGTGCTACGATAATCCACACAATGTAGTTTTAACAACCCTTGTTGCATAAAAGGAACAAAATATTGACATATTGTGAGCTGTATAATTTTTTAATTGAAACATACTTGCGGGTGAGATTTATGGCTTTTTTTTTCGCTTTGTATAAGACTCCTTTTTCACCAAGTGTTGTCTTCGACCTTCACGTTATCTCATACATAAATTGCACCTTTACCTTCAAACCTCTTCTTACTGTTTAATTTTTGTTCATTTGTCCAAATGGCAAAACATGTGAATGGTAAAGTATGGTGAAATTTTCCCTGTTTAACGTGTAATTTAGAATGTGAATTTTTCAAAGTGTTCAAAAGGCTAATAGTGTAAATGTAACGTAAAATGGAACCGTTTTAAGACAAGCAGATGGCAATACGATTATCTATATGAATTGAAGTAGATAATTAACTGGATATATAGCTAGATATACATATTTGAATATTTTCTACACCTGTCTTTACGTAAGTGTCCTCTCGATAAAAAAATCAGTGTATGTAAAAATGGAAGTAACTTGACCTTATTATCAACGTAGAACTTTCGATACGTCAAACACTATCTGTTTGCGAGCCTATTATAAACCCACGTCGCCGAGATAAGGTCATTCAAAGACAAAACTAGACTGTTTAAATCAACGTTAGATCGGGTCATCATGGTAGGTATTATAACTTACATAATTCTGTGTCGAAATGTCGTAATACTTAATTAACTTATGTGTCTTTTGTACAATTTGTATAATTACTTTTAGAATGAAATATTGTTAAACTTTTTTCTCCAAAAATATCTTGAAAAATATAATGATATATATAATAGAATCTATTTGTTTGAAGAATCGACATCTTTTGATAGCTTTAGATAGACGTATAGAAACTAATAGACTAAATGACTTAATATTAAACTGATTTAATTTTGTTTTTAAAGCGTCAACTTCCCATGTTTTGTTGTTATTGATATATGAAGTGAAAACTTCTGACTAAATATTTAATATTCAGTTTGAATTTTGATAGCACTATTTGTTTAAGTTTCTAACTTTTAATCATGATGAATTAGATGCTTGCAAATCGGTCAATCGGTATTTCGGTTGCTCCTTTGTTTTGTTATGGGATTCAATATCCTGTGTGAACAGATTTCCAATATATACCAACATTCTTAGGTTTCTCCACCGTCCCGTAAACTAAAGACATATTTTGCTGGATACGACAGGCGAATGCTTAATATCAATTCATCCTTGTAACCCTTATCTGAAGTTATTTTACAAGGCCGGTATTTATCATGGTTGACCCATCCTCTTTTGTCACCATCCACATACAGCTCTAGGAACGATAAACTCAAAACAAACACAAGAACAAGACGGAACAATCAATCTTTTTAAGAATCTCAGCCAAAAACAGTAGGTTAGATATCCAGGAAATTAACACGCAGATGCCGTTATCACGGGGAATCACCAACATTGTGTATTTGTATGCTCATCCGCCTGCAAACACAATGATGGAATGCACCCAACGATAATTACATTAAAAGTCTGACCTCCCAATATTACGCTTCGCAGACAACGCTTATGTTGTTCACGACAGGTGCTGCTGGAATATACGATTGACTGACGATGCACGTGCAGCGAGGGGTTCACCCTTGTAGATCATTGAATTACCAAAACGATTGTTTACACAATGTAGATAAAGATGTATCTACATTTGATATCTAACAACACAAATACTTTAATCTATTATGAATTTGTTTGTTTTTTCCTATATACTTTCATCTTTGCTGTTGTTTATATATTTTTGATACGAGTCCATTAAGGATAAAATGAAAAACTCTAATTGCTGAGGACGATCCAATGTCACATCTGAAAGCACATTGTGGTTATGGCAGACACTATACTGTTACTTGATATGAAATAAAGCAAAGGTGTGATTATGGATCTCTCTACTCTATTTCAGGCTTGTAGAATACTGTTTATATCTCTTATGTGTTTGGCCTTGTTCCATTCCTCCCGAGGGTTACTCGTGGCGAATGAGACCATTATAACAGAAACAAATGGAGGTTATGGCTGTAAGTATTACTGGTGTAACATAGTTTATCAATAAACCTGATTATATATTTAGAATTTTTTTGAATATCATGTTCAGTTGACGCATAGTCTGCACAACAGCATTATTCTTATCATGCAAACAAATATCTGCATTTTTTACCTTACCAATATATCATGGACACCTGCAAGCTTACAGTACACAGCAGAAAGCAAGTTCATCAGTTTTATTCACATTCTTATCTACATTTGCATACGTCACAAGCGTGAGACAAAATAGATTTCCAAACGTTCGATGCCATGCATACTCTATATTATAATATAAATTTTAGAAAGCATTTCTAGGCTTATCTATTTATTTATTTTGTGTTGGCGAATTTGCGAATTGACCAACTGAAAAGCAATAACTGTGGAAAACACAGAATTAGTGCGATCACCGAATACGTAGAGAGAACCATGGAAACAAAACGTAAAAGCCTAGTCTCTAGAGTCGCTGTCAAAGATGTTTTGCCATAGCTTTTTTTCTTTGTAAATAAATATAATCGTCTTTGATGGAATAATTCGTGATGGAAAGGTTATTTCATGTTAATTAAATTCATACATAATCCATACATAAGTGATTTGACTATTAGAGTTAAATTAGAAAATAGAACGGTTATATGTAATCTTCATTTCAGCCTGTCCCGCCAATTGTAAAATAACGCTTTGTGCTAGCCAAGTAGGGTGTTCTCTTTGTGAAAACGGTTTCTGTCTCCACTACCAAAAGAACGGGACATCATCGTAAGTGTTTAGAATTCTATTTACCAATTAGAAAACTTTATGATCAATATCATTGCAAGTTAAGAAGGTATTGTTATATTTACATGATAGATATGAGATTGTGCCTACAGATAAGACGTCCAATGTCTTGATCCTTGTCTGCAAACGTTATTATATTTCCTGTATACAAAAAGAACTGGGCTTGCTTGATAACTATGAAAATCGTACCTGAACAATATGCAATCTATCTAAATACGAAATACTGACTAATCATGCTTCGGTATTACCATCATTTAGATTGCCTGTTAATGCTAATGATACGGACCTCCCCCGTTTATATTGGATTCTCATACTTCACACGAATCCATATAAACAACGTTTTATTACTGGCTCGTCTAGCTGTTCAACTTTTAACTAATATTCTAAGTACTATCAAATCTGGGTTACAGTCTTATTGTAAAACTGTTTACTCAAAAAGTGGAATTAAATGTATGTGGATTTTGAAGAACAGCTTTTGACCAATGTTCAACATCCTCTTATAACAACATTTCTTTTATAACAACATCTAATTTTTCCACTCTGTACACCACCATACACTATACTTAGCTGAAGGAACCCCTTCGTCTCTTGTTATGAGAAATTTCTTCTCCACGAAAGATGAACAGCGGTACAAATATATGGCCGTAAACTATACTGGAGCGTATTGCGTAAAAATACGTTCAAATCAAAGAAATATACGGAGGACGAAATAATCAAAATGATCGAGCGGTTGGTTATGGAAGCATTCTGGATACGCCGCAGTGGGCCAGCAATTAATAGAGACGAAGGACCACTGACTCTCTCACATCTTTTACCAAGTGTTACACAAAGCGTAGCCTAACTGACGACATTACGTTGTTACCATCTGATGTATTTTGTGTCTATAATCTGTTTACTATCTCGTCACACTATTTACGACCTAAGTGTACATAGAAATATAGTACAGACGAAAACGTTGCTCGATTCTGTACCATCTTGTACACTATGCACGTCCGTGCTAATACGCTCTACACTGAACTACTATTCTACTTACATTGAGGAATATTCTATTTTGGTGCCATTTGAAGCTGGACGTGTTTGATGTTCCTTGTATACCTTATTCTCATTTGAGAACGTGACGTCACTTACTTGGATTGACCAAAGTTTACATGGCGGTTGTCGTCAATGACGCAGAAGACACTTACTCTTCCTAAACGAGGAGTCTCCCTGTATATCCTTCTTTTGTTCATATCTTGCCCTAGTTTTATGGAATTTGAGTTTGGATTATGATTATGTTGACATGATGATATTTTCGTGATGTTTATTGAAGCCTTCGCGTGCTCAGCAATTCTAATATTTTGTAATCTGTTAAGGTAGCTCCATTGTTATTGACCTTGTGCTCATTTGGGAACGTGACGTCATCTACTTGGCAGACCATGATGTACACAGCGGGTGCCGTCGATCAAACTGGAAGCCCTGCCCTTACGGAACACCTGGTCTTGTATTCCTTTAACATTTAAGGAGTGTCTTTATAAAACCTTTCTTTTGTGCATATAGTGACCTATTTCATCGATTATTAGTTTGGGTTAATGTTCTGTTCTTTTTCAGAAAAGGAATTTGTTTGTCCTCTTGTCCATCCGGGTTCTACTGTCAGCAAGTCCGGTTTTCGATTTGTAGAGGTAAGCAAAATTATTATTGACGATTTACATAACGATGAATAAGGATTATTGCTATTTTCTTTACTGGTGTTTGCGAACATACAACGATTTTTACATGAAGATTTCTGATATTTTACCTTAACAACATTCGAATGATGATGTGAATAATCAGACATGTTGATGAGATATGGAGATCCTATCTGATGCAGCAAGATACACTCGGAATGCGTTATTGTAATATTTCGATGGACTATATAGTTGATGTCATATATGAAGAAGAAGGCGCTAACACTTCCGGATCTCCTAGTCTCATTCTCTTTATACTTGTTTATTAGTCTCGATGAAAATATCTATGTTGTTTTTATTTCATATTAATGAGTTTGACGTTGAACTGTTCCACCTTCAAAAATGACATTAACTGTTTCTCATATTGGTTACAAACGAAACGGGGATGAGTTACATGACAATTTCAGGAACAATTAACTAATTAACTAATGCTCGGAGTTCTAGTCTTATATCATTTATACCTTAATTTGTTAAACGTATCGCTTGTGTATTTACTGGCATGAGGTCAAGTTGTCAAGAAGCAGGTCGGTGTATCCTGCACTCCGTCACAAATGCTGTAATTATATAACATCTCTGGCGTATTCATAGGAAACAGAACTAATTTAGTGATATCCTGGGGCTTCTAAATGCGTTCAGCATTCGTTACAGAGGTGGCAATTTTGTCCTGAAGAAAAGGTCGTGTTCGCCCATCTCAAGTCATCAAATACCATGTGTAATTTCCCTTAAACTGTCATCTAGCTAAATTAAGTACACATCTCTCTGTGTGCCTCGGGATCCGGAACATGGTTTACAACAGGTGACCATAATTTATACTCGATGTACTTGTATATATTTCCGGATCGCTCATCGGGCGTCGCAGTTCTTCTATTACACATTACTTTAACCAGGCCTTTGTTGTTATTTCTTTATTTCTATGGATTTATCTTTTATAGATAAATGATAGGTGTAAAATATATCTTATATCAGATAACAGACTTAAGACAGTTATTCCATAACATGTTCAAAATGTTGTTTCTATTTTGTACATATAAGATAATGCTTAACCTATCATATACTCACTTAGATTTCGGATTGAATTACTAAATTGCTATTAGGTTTATTGCTTATACATGGCAAGAATGGGCACTAAATCGTTGACTAGGGAGAGTTATCTCCCTTCTATTATGTTTCCGTAAGCAGTGAAGAAACGGGAAGGATAGTTTTGATACGCTGTAGATATAGATATATTAAGATGACCCGTAAGTTACCCATCAAAAGAACACAGATTTTCGTCGTATAATATTTATGGTTCAGTTATTGATAATTAATACATGGCCGGTATCTACCGTCAATATAGATTTCTCTTTATCTGACTCTAGCACTAATTATAATACCGTGTGTTTTTTTCATCAGTGGAGGTCATATTAATCATCCTTCCCCATATAAGCGTTTGAGGTCAGTTCAAGGTCACTAAACTATCTTATTATTGATAATATACATACAGCTTCCTGTAATATGTTTTCTGTGAAAAGTTTGAAATAAACAGACATGTTGCGATGATATTATTTGTTTAAATTTTGTTTATTTTATTTTAACAGCGTGCAAGGATACCAATTGTGATACATGTGATTCTCTTGGTAAATGTACAAAATGTGCTTCCGGATTTACCCGTTTGAGTGACGGAAACTGTCACGCAGACATTACAACGGTACCTATGGCAACTGAGACTACGGCAGATATGACAACAGATGTAACGACGAGTGATTCGGCTGTTTCCGGAGCGGCGCCAGTTGTTGGTTAATATTTTCCTGTTTTACAAGTTACTTAATGAGATAACCGGAAGTAAATATATATAAATAAAAACGTTGTGCTGTTATATAAAACAACGTCCTTTGTCACTTAATACTAGGAAACAATGTGGACGGGTGGCTCAGTGGTATTGCATTCGCCATCCACGAAACATCCGGGGTTCGATTTCCCTAGAGGGCGTTAAAAGTATGAGGGTCACTTATGAGTTTTCATGTTTCCTCCCTCAGACATCTTACAACCTTCAACACAGGTTAACAAGAGTGATAAAAACCAGCTGTTGGGCCGTTTGGCTATTGTTGTAAAACAGATATTTTTAAAAATGTTTTATGTGTTTACTGATAAAAAAAACAAGGTTGCCACGTCAAATTTAATGTTTATCGGAATTAGTACTGACAAACAGTAAGATATTTAAGAAATTATGCATACTACAGTATAGATTTCAACCAAACGTAATATGGAGGTGTCGATTTATCATGTACATACAGGAAACAATAATAACATTGTCAGTTTAGATGCATATTGATCACCAATACATTTAATAATCAATAGTTTACCATGTAATCTACAGTAAAAACATATATCCTTTTTCCTTTTTTTGTATTCTGTTCTGTTTTCTGTTTGTTTATAGTTTTATTCCTAGTTTTATTCCTAGATTATGATAAAATGAACTTACGAAAATAATTGCATGTATTCTTTAAACGAGTAGCATAACAGAGAGTCAGAACAAAGGGACAATCCCTCTGTTGTAGAAACGATAGAAACTGACGCCCAATCGTCCGCTTAAATAATGACTATAAGATAGTTACTAAAATGTTAACAGAAATATTTAAACCGGTTTAATCACGCCTTGTAAATCCAGATTTAGAGTTAAGTAGGAGTACAGATTAAATTACATGCTTAATTCACGATGTTGTGGAGTATGCTAACATAGAGAGTATTACTAATGGGACTATCCATTCAGATCAGAAGACCTTCTATCGGGTAGAATGTAGATTAATTCAAAAGTGTTTAGAGAAATTTGGTTTGGGTGATAATCTGGTTCGATGGATTGAAATTACATACATCAATTTTCATAGTCAAATAAATAGGTTCCTTTCGAACTCTTTATAGCTTAGTATCTTAGTAAAACAAAGCTTCACTCTCACAGCTTGTATCTATGTCATACAAGCCGAGCCTTTAGCCTAATTCATACAGGTCACTAATATATACATTAGGTTTATGTTTTTAATGTTAAGACAATGAAGAATATGCTTGCAGGTGGCAATTATTGGTATTTACGTAAAAATGTATAATAGAAACATTTAAAGCACAAAGCATATAGGAAATAGCTTCTAGAGCAAGGAATGTACATACTAGGTGTTTAGAAGCAAATACCAAGGTATAATAAAATATAATGGGTTGAACACATTGCAGCGTTTTAAGATAACCAGGGGTATAACGTTGATCATGACTCACTTAAAACATTAATTGATAGAAGGAAAATCGAACTTTTAATTTGCAAGGGAAAATTACAATAATTAAATCCATCATTTTGTCAAAAAATACATACGAGATAGCTCTGACAATGGTACCTGTTAAGTACAGTCAGTTAACAAACTTATCTATTCCTTCGTTAAGGACATGTTGTCGAAAATTTTAAAAAAATATGTATATATATATATAAACTGTATTTATTTCACAACAATTGCTAAACAAGTTGTTGGCCCGGATGTAAGTGCTCGATAGATCGAAAATTTCATACGTGATAGCGCAGACAATAGAAACTTGTCATTTGGATCAATCCAAGGCAGACAGATCTTACAGAAACTGATGTGATCAGAAAATATAGATGTGAAGAATATATATAAAGAATCATAATATCATAGTTACTAAATCGGAATATTTTGGGAAAATATTGGTTACAGAAATACTTCTTATGCAAATTTAGCTGTTCAAAATCTCTTGATATAACTCAAATACTATAAATCTATAGAATACAATAACAGGAGTGGCAGCTTTTAAATGTTTATACAAGACACTGATGAACGAGGATATTTAAGACCAAATATTTTTTGGGTTTTTTTTTTTTTTTTTTGTTTTTGGAAATGATGAAAAGAAATCCCGTGTTCTTTAAAAACGAGACTAAATTAGATTTTCTACAAATAAAATTTATGTATATGTGATAAACTAAAAAAACCAATGTATATCACTACACTTAAAATAATAATGATAAAACAAGCAGTTAATTAAAATTCAAAGTTTTCCAGAATTAAACAATCTGTGCTTAAGAAACGGGGAACAAATCTCGAGACGAAAGATCTGACGCCAGGTTTGATAACAGACAACCTGATTCTCAAATATCTATGTAACCCTGATAAAATACTAGCCGCAATATACCGCTCGGCTAGAGAGAACTTCTCTTTAGCTCGATCGGTTGAGCGGCAGAGGTCCCGAGTTCGAATCCTATCGGAGGCATTAATATAAATCTTCTGTTTCACTGACGCCTCTCAGTAAAGAACAGAAGATTTAGAAGATAATGTACTTACAGATGTTATATAAGGCAACCTAATACACAACAAACATAAAAACCATTATATTAAGATATTTTTTAATTGAAAAAGTGTATGGAAAAAAAGACAAACATCTATTAAAAACAGAAATAACTCCAGTGGAAATATCTACATAGCTTAGAATCTGCATTTCATAAACAAATGAAAATGGGACGATCTGATGAGAAATTGAACCCCTGTGAGGTTGACCTTGAATCTCAACAACATGTTTTTATAGATGTACTTTTACAAATGAAATTTGTTTATTACCGCTTGTAAATAATGCGATACATTATTTCCCTCGTCACCATGACAATTATAAGCTTTCTGAAACAAATGTGTTCTCTGGTCCCCAGTTATAGTATGATTCGTGATTAGTTGTCAGTCTTATAATTTTTTCTACAAAATGTCTCATTTGGAAACCGAGATATAAAATCAAGTTTGAAAACAAGGTTGAAACTAAATAATGTATAGTAAAAACACCATGCAGTCCTTCAAATAATTGTTAAATATTAAAACGTTAAAACGAGTTTCCCTATGTATCGGTTTATTGGGGAAAATTGACACTTAAAATAAACGTCCTTTTCTACTCTTACAGAGCTTATCCCGCCTGTATAGTTCTATTTTCAAAATGTTTCGGAGTACTGTTACATGCTAATTCTAAAAAACCGAAGTACTCACTAGAAATACTTCCCTCCTACACCTGAAGTTAAGTGCCGCAGAGTTCCTGTTTTAGGCTTGTGACCGCACGACGTGATATTAAATACCAGCAATCTGTATTTTGTACATTAACATTTCCTCAGTTACCAATAATATCAATGACGGGAAAATTGCATCAGTGTTAATTTTGTTTTTCAAAAACTATATATAGGATAAATTAACCATCCATTTAGCGTCGATAGAGTCCAAGGGAAGCAACTCGAACAAGAAGATAATCTATCGCGAAGCAGTTGACTGAGCTGGTAAATACCTGGTAACATGTGTCGTCTAAAAAAATATGTTTATATCCATAATCAATAATTTACACCACATCTACATGGCGGAACGGGACAGAATTATCAAACTTAATGTAGGGGGCACCCTTTACACCACATCCAAATCCGCACTGACCAGTGTCCGAGGAGGATTTCTGGACAGAGTCGCAGTCGGGGAAATTAACTCTATGAGAGATCATCGTGGCACTATATTCATCGATCGAGACGGACACGTATTCAGGTTTGTATTGAGGCCATAGGTGTAGCGTGTTTTGTTTGCTATTCGAATTTATGATACATAATATGAAAGTTGCTACAAACTCTCTCTCTCTCTCTCTCTCTCTCTCTCTCTCTCTCTCTCTCTCTCTCTCTCTCTCTCTCTCTCTCTCTCTCTCTCTCTCTCTCTCTCTCTCTCTCTCTCTCTCTCTCTCTCTCTCTCTCTCTCTCTCTCTCTCTCTCTCTCTCTCTCTCTCTCTCTCTCTCTCTCTCTCTCTCTCTCTCTCTCTCTCTCTCTCTCTCTCTCTCTCTCTCTCTCTCTCTCTCTCTCTCTCTCTCTCTCTCTCTCTCTCTCTCTCTCTCTCTCTCTCTCTCTCTCTCTCTCTCTCTCTCTCTCTCTCTCTATTACTTCCACACATTAACGTTCAAACGACATTGTATCAGAAATAAAAGTATTTCGAAGATTCGAAGAAATTAGATATGTATGTTCAGTTCTGATTGTTTTAAAAATGTAACGACAAGTTTGAGAGTTATTCCTATATCAAAAAATATAACATATATTTCCATAATGTGGAATGTATGTTTAAGTACCTTGTACTTTAAGTACTTAAACACTCCTATCCAGAAGGATACTGTCGATATATACAGAGAAAATATTTACAACACAAATGATGATGGGGATAAATTTATTATATATCTTTACAGTTTATATCAAAATGTCAAATGAATGAATGAATGAATGAATGAATGAATGAATGAATGAAAGAATGAATGAATGAAAGAATGGCCGGGCGGGTGGATGGGTGAGTGAGCGAGTGCGCTAGCTGAACACGCGAGCGGACTCATCAGGCAATTAAGTCCAGATATTCGAAGGTAATTGTTACCAAGGGTTCATGATAAAATAACACAATTAATGTCAAAGCTAAATTAACATTTATAAACATTTCACCAATCTCTTAAGCCGTTAGATAATAAAGAATTTTTTTTTTAAATTGTGGAAATATTTTTTTGAAAAATTTTCATAAATCATTGGTCATTTTTGACAAAATTTGATTAAACGGGGCAAGTTTCGCGTACTGTTCATAAATGTGATATTTTCTGTTGCAGCAATTGACTAGCCTGTCTGTTATTCATCCGATACTATACTCAATAGTGTTGTATACTAGAATACTCACCAGCTGTCGCGTACCGTTATATACAACTGACACATTGGTTTAAATCGATTGAAATTATAAACAAGATACATTATAGCCTAGATAAGTCAACCTGTAAAATCATTTCTTAACCTTTCTTATAAAAGAATTCTGTAAATGATGTAAATATTACTTAATATCGATCAACATTTTTGACCGAGTCATCGTTTATTAATCATCCTATGCTCAAAACACCTCCTTATTTGGAGAGTTACAAGAAGCATACTTTTACGATTATCTCCCCTTACAAAGTATTAACCATGTGTATCATACACAGTTGGTTTACATTGGTATCAACAGTACATCGTGACAATTGGTGAATTATTCTGTCTGATTGATCAGTTGTAAGGTTGATCAATAGGGTCACACAAAAGACACACAAGCCTAAAAAGAGCAGACGGCTTTAAGGCAAAAAATGAACCAAATTCCTTCATACAGCAGATTCGTCAATAATGGACTCGCCAGTGATGTCCAGGTCGCTGAACCGTGGAAGCGTACAATGTTTATGCTAGATAACAGAAAAATACAACAATCCCGTAAACACCAATGAAGCAAATAATCATGACAAGTTATGCTGGTTGTTTCGTAAAACTAAGAATTTTTGGCCAAATGAGGCGACATAGATTTGATCAGAACTCGAGTTAATTTCACAAAATAACACGAGTTGTCCAAATAGTTACCGGAAGTGCTAACTTAAATACCATGGTTGCAACAATACACTGTTATAAATTGTAGACTTAAAGATATTATATTTGCACAATGTTTCGAAAGCTTTCGTCCATCAGACTTTTTTTTTAATTCGTGCCAAATCAGAGAAGAAAAAAAACAAGAAAAAGAACAAAACCAAGAAAAAAACAAAATAAATAAATTAATGTAAAAAAAAGCAAAATGAAAACAAAAATACACACATTTTTACTGTCATGTTGCAGATTCGTTCTGAACTTTCTACGAACCTCAAAATTGACAGTACCACAGGGATACAAGGAGCTTTATTTACTAAGGGAAGAGGCTGACTTCTATGGACTTCCGGGCCTAGTCACCGAAGTGGACAACATTCTGAGGTCCCGGAAACGTCGGAACAAGCCACACATGTCGAAACAGAAGAGTAAAAGTATGGATTTAATTTGTGACGAAAATGGAACTGTTATCTTTGAGGATGATTCTTCTGACTATTTCTATGACTGATGAATTCATTTGTTCTTCTTGGAAAATTTCTTTTACCCTAATTTATTGTAAAATATGGTTTTCTTGATTTAAGATCGGACGTATTTTGAAAAGAAAAGAATAACAAACAAAAAATATTGAACTGCTCCACTGAATGAGAGATTAACTAATTAGCATATTCATGCATCTAATCATTCAGCACTACCTGAGCACAAGAGTACAGTAAGGAAACCTAATCATTATTCAGACTTAGGAACGACACCCGTACTACATGTGACTTTATCGTAAACTTACGATAATCTGTGGCTCTATAGAAAGCATGAACTGTAATATAATTACAAAATTCTTCGAGGATGTTAATTCTATCCACTACCGTAATATGTCAATTCTCTTAGCGAATTTATTTTCGTTGAATTCGTAGGATTTCAAATTCTAGAATTGATGTGTCCGCGATATGATAAGAGGATATAAATGACATGTATTGTATGATTAGTGGATTTCTTGGGGAAGATTAAACCAAGAAATCAAGTGCCAGCTAAAATGGATATTTTTGGAAATCCGCGAATTTTAGATTCACAAAAATATATGATTTTACAGTATATTGATCGTGAAAATTGGAGAGTAAAAAACTCTCTAATCATGTGTATTTAAATGTACACTTTTTATTATTATAACTGTTACGAGTTAACAGTTCTTAAGTATATAGAACTATATATCTCTAGGGTCCTGAGACACAGCTTCCTGGGTGAAACATTTTATAAAAAATAATTATATATAACTGTATATTTCTAGGGTTCTGTGACACAGCTATCGGGGTGAAATATTCTATAAAAAATAATTGCATATAACTGTATATTTCTAGGGTCCTGTGACACAGCTGTCGCGGTGAAATTAACACAAAAATAAGTGTTTGTAACAAAGAGAAGTGTATTTAATGATAAAAAATAAGTTTGTCTTTTATTAATCAAGTGATAGAGCAGAAAAGATTAGTAAACGATCGACATATAAGAGAATATTTCTTGTGAGGATGATCTTTTAGAAGCTTTGCAGTACTGAGTCTTCCAAACGTTAAAAATGCCACAGACAACCGAACCTCTAATGCGACGGAAGAGCAGCCGACACAAGACCATTGGAAACCAGGGCGTTTATTTAGGCAAGTAAACTTTGCACAATGACCGCGTAAGACATCGGCACAATGACCGAATGTCTTCGAGCAGACGACGTGGATTGAAGTTCAACAGCGAATATTTCGACAAATCAAAACTTTTAAAATGTCCCCATGTGGTCTGATCATCCTATTAATCATGATGAACTCAGATCATTTGTCGTGTAGGTGCTGCGGGCATTGAAGTAGATTTTCTGTAAGAACAATACTAATACATGTATATGTATATAAACGCTTGGCATGTCTATTCCGGTGTTCCGTTTGGGCCAGGATGTTGCTGAAATCCGTAAATATTAGTCGATCAAGAAAGATAAACCGGAAGTTATCTTATATATACAGTACATGACGCCAGCTTCTGATTACTACCGGTTCATGCCGATAGTCAGCAGTATTGGTCAGAATAATAACTCTACTTAAACATGGTATCTTGAATGTTTACACACAGATTCGTCCACCACGGAAGTCTTTTTATCTTGCAACTGGCACTGCCATTGTCGGAATACCCCTTCCACATATGTTTGCTGACGGAAAACAGTTGTATTTTAGCACGTGCGCTCATTCGACAAAATGATTCTCTGAATTTACTTAAATAGTACGTTTAAATATATAAACAGCTGTTGAAATAAGCGATTTTACATGTTGTAATGAACTTGTTGATTCACGAAAGTCATGAAATTGCTGTTATATCCAATAACGTTTGGAACTATGTTTCCGCGCTGAGCAATTATTATGGCGTCCGTCATCAGTCAAAATTCAGCGTAACGTCTATGTCAGGTAAACAAAGATTGAACAACAAAACATTTTTCAATAGTCTAATTTTCAATCAATGTTGCAAGATAAATAGAATTCATTGTCAGTGTCTTAAAATATAAGCTGTATTTTGGCTCGGGACAGAAGGCTCGCCAGTTTTGCCTTTTCCCACTCTCGCCAAAATACAGCTGATATTTTAAGACACTGGCCATGTATTCTCTATATATGCTTACCAGAGGATGACTATAAAATCTTAACACCAAGCACGATAATCGGCCATATTTGACCTAGTCACCATCATTTAATGCTTTCACTATTTCTGAGCGTGGGACGGTTTCCAATTTTGTGTCCATTTTGAATAAGAAATATTTCATGGTGTCAGACTAGCCATGGTTTGTATTTCTTCTTATTTATGACATAGAAATTACATGTATAACCTTTCTTTCCATCTAGATATATACTCACCAGAGGTTTGTCCTATTCTATTAACTTAAACTTTTATTAGTGTTGTATTTTGTACAATTTTAATTGCACTTTCTGTATGCTGGTTCCATTCGAAAGTCCTTTAATTTTTTCATTCGAGTTGACCCAACTTTAAGAACTGTCGACTCAGGAGCCTCACAGATTGTCTAATGCTTTTGCACGCATGAATTTTCTAAGACGTCTTTACATTCAAAGGTCAGCTCAGTGTCTGTATCCTTGAGGAAAAAGATAGACCATTTTTGGTTTGTTAAAACTTTCGGTTACGTTTGAGATTTTCGAACCTTTGAAAACCAACAAGCGTTAAGTCAAGCTTTCGATAACAAAGCAGATACTATTTCTTGCAACAGATAATATCTAATGTTTCGAAGAATTGCTTTAGTTTTCATATGTATACAATGCATGTCATTTTTGTTTTTGTTTGTTTGTTATTTTGTTTGTTTGGTTTTTTTTATTATTTATTTTTTAGTTCATGAAATAAAAACAACAAATTGCCAATACGAGTTTGTATATTTTATTCACTTTAGAAAGACGAATAAGAAGTTTGAAATTAAGATCTGTTTAATACTTATATACATCATTTTACTTGTTTATATATATACCTATATTTATCTAAATTACATATCGTGTTGGATCGTTCCTGATGCGAAGTTCCTGTCATAGAGTCTTATACTTTATGTAATATCATATGATATATCAATATAATATTAAATGATATAATAGTATAATATCATATGACATATAGAGGTTCTACAACGAGTGGCAGTTGATTATCATCGTTATCTAACTCGAGTTAGTTAATTTTCAAATTTAGAAAGCCTCGTGTCTTTTCTAAATTTGAAAATGAACTAACGAGAGTTTGATAACGATGATAATCAACTGTCACGAGTTGTAGAACTTCTTTCTACCATAACCTTTTAACGTAAAAATATATGTATTGTGTACAACATTGTTTCGCCCCCATTGACACTTTCGCGTAAGAATACATCGTATGTTGTCTAATTGGCTCATTAATATGCAAAAAGAGACAAAATCGCTATTTTTGATGCAAAAGACTTATTTATTCAGTAATATTGTTTGGAAACATCCCGTAACATTAGTTCATTGAAACACATTACACAAATTGTTTATCTTTCAAAAAAAAATAATTTGGAACTAGATTTTATTGCGGATAAGAGTAGTGCTTCTTCGCAAGAAAATGTGAACGCAGACACGATTAAGATGGCGCGTAATTTCGAGAACTTCTGATCACTTTCATCAGAACTGTACATCACAATATCAAAGGTTGGGAAACCAAAATTACTGCATTTAGCAATTACTGTCCTCTCTCCCCTCCACACAGTTTTGCCGCATCACCGATCTTGACCGCCGGCAAGAATGACAGATCGTCACTGTCAGCCGTGTTGATGATGGACCGCAGACGATGAAAACAATCGCACGTGGCGAAAGTAGTTCGGGGTCACAGATCATTGTTGGGTCAAATGTCAATGCCTCGTCCAATAGATTTGGCTGTCACCAATAATACACGTGTGTATTATGCGTATGAATAAACAATGGATATGGTGTTTAATGAATAGTCTGGGCATGACATAACATACGCAGGTTATGGTAGAAAATAGTATAATATCATATGACATAAAAGTATAATATCATGATATAATATTATAATATCATATGACATAATAGTTTAATATAATATAATATATTAATATAATATCATTTGATGAAATAGTATAATATCATAAATAGTGTTACAATGAAAATTTCTAATCAGTAGAAAATTTGAGTGTGACGTTTCAATGATTGCACGGTTACATTTATCAGAAAAATGACCTGTGTGAAGCGTACAAGCACCGATGTACTTTGTGGACGAGATGTAAGGAATCGACCTTTTTTCGGCTGTATTATAGTCCTATGTACACCTTATCGAAAATAGTATGACGAGATGGTAAACAGATGGTAGAAATAAAAGCACACGAGATGGTAACAATATACTGTAGACGAATCGGCCACGCTTTGTTGGTCAAAGGTGTCCAAGGGTTTGTTGTAGAGAGTGTTTCTTGCCCTTACAAGCTGTCGATATGGCAAACTAAGACATCACAATAACCAATGTGCTTAAGAAAATAAAAAAAAAACAGAAACAAAATCGTATGTGACACTGAAATAACTGGCGTGTCCTGACATAGCTAATGTAAACTATGAACATTTTTTTTGTTTAAGATACTGAAACAAATATATATTTGGGTTTTTTTTTTTTTTGAACGCAGAGACATATGAAAATATGTATTGGAGGTTTGTTACCAATCTTTGCGGTTTTCGTCAACCATTACTCCCTACTTGGTATGTTGAAATACCAGGTTAAAATACACTGTGATATTAATCCCATTTTGCCTCGACTTTAGTAAGCTTCGTTTGAAGCATGTGAACTGAGGATTCAAACATACCTGCAATATTAAACCAATACCGTATAGCATGGTGTATTGTCCATGTCAATCAGACGAGAAGTGGACGAAGCTTGTCACCGAATACTACGCCAATGTGATTACGACACGAGAAGTGGACGAAGCTTGTTACCGAATACAACACCAATGTGTTTACGACACGAGAAGTGGACGAAGCTTGTTAC